TTCAGAGCTAAATTAATTAAGAACCGCTTTGCTGCATTCCAATAAACAACAAAGTTGTTGCGCAGTTACATACCTAGTTCAAGATCTTGTAGCCGTTTCGTCGTATTTCCTCCAGACTTTGATGAAATACGCTTTCAAAATTTGGAAATGTCGTAAAATTGAAGAGCTCGTTCGCATCGGGAACGACTGTGAAACATGGATAAAAATGCATCAAAAAAGGAGGAGTGTGTGCGAGCGGTAGACTACTGTGCACATAAACATGGGATCTAACGAATGGTGTTCTACCTTGAGGTCAGAATTGGATTTTGCCCCAGCTTAAAAGGTAAAGCTGGTGACCTACTTAACCCGATCCCGACCCATAACACATCCTGGAACTCGTTGTGAGGAGACGTATCTATAGGAGTTTAAATTTTTCCGTTTCATTCGCTTTCAGCGGAGTTATGGTAGTGCGACGGTCTTTGATAGGTGCGACGGTCAATCACCGTCATTTTTTCACATTCTGTGAGCGGTATTGTAAATATCACACGTACACAGAATTTAATTAAAAAAATACATCGCGGTACGTCAATCCTCAAACTGAACTCACTAAGGGTACCTAGCAGTAGTTCAGCGTAACAAAAGCTCAAAAGGAAGCTCTTATGGGCAATACTTGAACTCTTCAACAAGTTTGGAACCACCACAGATGGAAAATTCGGAGACTCGAAAGTTACAGTTACCACCAGGACAATTATCAGATGCAGAAACTAGGTCTCCCCTTGTCGACTTTCGTACCCCAAAATGAAAAAATTGATGTGAAAACCCAGCCAGACACTCTAAAGACTCCACATCTGTAGTGGATAGAAAGCCACTCGAGTGCTCTACTTAAGATATTTTATAGGACAGAGCACTCAGTCATGAAGCGAAAATTCTGCAAAAATCGACTTCCCGCGTTCATTGCTTAAGAGGATTGTAACTCAGAGGCAAGTGCAAATGAAAACCCCAGAAAAATGTGATCCTCAGAAGGCGAAGCAAAAAACGTGGAAAGATTTTGGCACTCCTTACCAGGGAAGGCATTCAACTTCCCATGGAACTTTGAATTGAGACCCAGATATATCGATAGAGCTTCAAACGCTGATTACAAATATGGAAACTAAAACTGCAAAATGAACCTGCCAAGGAAGTTGTGAGCAGTCAAAGTTGGCTGGAAGTAAAGCATTACATATGAACCGTGCTAGCCTCCGGGCTTTCAGAGTCGCCGTGGAGTAGTGGTAGTGCCCTCGCTCTCACCCTGGAGGTCATGTTCTCTTCCCGTTGGAGTGCAAATTTCGAGAGCACTACCACTACTCCACGGCGACTTTGAAAGCCCGGAGGCACGGTTAGTGTAATGCTTTACTTCCAGCCAACTTTGACTGCTCACAACTTCCTTGGCAGGTTCATTTTGCAGTTTTAGTTTCCATATTTGTAATCAGCGTTTGAAGCTCTATCGATATATCTGGGTCTCAATTCAAAGTTCCATGGGAAGTTGAATGCCTTCCCTGGTAAGGAGTGCCAAAATCTTTCCACGTTTTTTGCTTTGCCTTCTTCAGAGGATCACATTTTTCTGGGGTTTTCATTTGCACTTGCCTCTGAGTTACAATCCTCGGAAGCAATGAACGCGGGAAGTCGATTTTTGCAGAATTTTCGCT